TGCTATCTCCTGGGCTGGGGTTCCATCCCCAGTAACAGAGAGAGAGAGAGAGAGAGAGAGAGAGAGAGAGAAGTGCTAGCTTACCATCTTTTGAATGAGAGTCTGTAAATAACAAACAGAAATATGAGGCAGTCTGAAGTAGTGGTGTAAGCCCAGCAAGGGATATAGACATACAAAGTATGGAAATGTTAACTCTGGTGTAAGAATCTGGGAAGGATTTTGCTAACTAGAAAACACATAATAAAAAGATATTCATCTGCTATGCATGATGTTATTGAGAGGGCAGGAGAGGAGGTAGGTATACATGGGGAAGAAGCACATTCATTTAACAAATATTTATTGAACACTTCCTATGGTTAACAAAAGAAGACCTTGTTTCCTTGCATTTATAGAGCTTACAGATGTGGCAAACATCATAATTGATGATGGCACCATTTCCCACCAGATCTATTCCCTGGTGAAGAAGAGCCCTAGGTGGTCATGTTTTATATCTTCCCCAGCTAAAGCCAGTTTGCCCAGGATTAGACATCTGAATTACACACGCTCCACACACACACACAAATAGATAAGGAAGGCACGTCAGATTCTCTGTCTCCAAGAAACGGGAACTAGGAAATACCAAGAAAACATCAGTGCAAGTATTGAAACAGAAGAGATGTTGGAGGAGTTATGAGGAAGCAGAAGGTGTGGGTAGAGATGTGTAGCATAAGAGGAGAGAACCAGGCGGTTAAAATTGGTAGTGAGTAAGACCCAGGGAGAGGAGCAAAAATGTGTGAGAGAGACCAGGCAGAGGATGAGAGAGAGAAATATTGCTAAATACAGCAAATCGCTAGATCTCTTCTAGGGTTTCTGTTCCCATTCCCATTTCTACAGATGTATCTCATAGCAAAATCTCTTTTTCTCAGGGTCTCAGTGAAACTGATCCTTTTATCCAAAAGGGTTTACTTACCTAAAGCACCAAGTTAGGACCCATTGGAAAGGGGTTATCAACTTGGGCAAGTTTGGATTACCCAAGGCTGTTACAAGATAGGCCTTCTTCACTTTGTGCAATGAATTTCTTATACACAATGGTGCAGGATGAATAATTTTCCTTTATGACTTATATTTTAATATCACAAACATTTTTCTGCATTTCTTCATTTCATTGTCCCTCATTTAGCAAGAGGCATGCTTGAGAATTGTTAGATACTGCCTATTCCCATCACACCGTGGGCCTAGCTCCTGTCAAGCTGTGCCAGGCACTCTCTGTACATTCCATCTCCTTTCTAGGCTGTGGCTTCCTAGAGGGGAGGGGTCAGATCTTTTATATGCTGTTTCTCCAAGAACCAGCCAGACTCAGAGTACCAGCTCTATTTGCTGGATTAAGACATATGGGCAGCAAGTTATGTGAATTCCAAGGCACTCTCAGATTTGGGTTTGTTTTTTTATAAT